ATGCAAATCAAAAAATGCAACTTTACCTCGCGTTCGAACACCCGACCACGCCAATCCCTGTGAAGGGTTGCAAAATGCAAATCCCTGTGAAGGGTTGCAAAAAAAATTGAACTGCACCCAAACCCTGTGAAGGGTTGCGCGGCGCCCGCAAGAAGTGTAACTTTACCTCGCGTTTGAACGCCCGAGGAGGCGAATCCCTGTGAAGGGTTGCGCGGCGCCCGCAAGAAGTGTAACTTTACCTCGCGTTTGAACGCCCGAGGAGCCCTGTGAAGGGTTGCGCGGGCGGTGTAACTTTACCTCGCGTTTGAGGAGGCGCGCCGAGTGAGCGCGAATCCCTGTGAAGGGTGCGCGGTGCACCGCAAAATGTGTAACTTTACCTCGCGTTTGAACGCCCGAGGAGGCGAATCCCTGTGAAGGGTTGCGCCGGGCGCCTAAAATGTGTCACTTTACCTAGCGTTTGAACGCCCGAGGCAGCGAATCCCTGGGAAGGGTTGCGCGGTGCGCCTAAAATGTGTCACTTTACCTAGCGTTTGAACGCCCGAGGAGGCGAATCCCTGTGAAGGGTTGCATTCCCGATGGACCCCGACGGTGCCACCCCCGCCTTTAAAAGAAATATTAAGATACCGAGATGTAGAGAGTAAGTCATAAGTCATAGTAAGTCATAGATGCATAGAGAGTCAGTCATAAGTAAGTAATCATAAGTAAGTAAGTAGAGTCAGTAAGTAAGTCAGTAAGTAGTAAGTAGTAAGTATAGTAAGTATAGTAAGTATAAGTAAGCAAGTCAAGTAAGTAAGTAAGTAAGTATAGAGATAGCATAACATAGAGTCCAGTGTCAAGTGTCAAGTGTCAAGTAAGTTAGTAAGTAGATTGTAGTAAGTAAGTAAGTAAGTAAGTCGTAAGCATAACATAGAGTCAAGTATCAAGTGTAGAGTCAAGTATCATAGAGTCAAGTGTCAAGTGTAGAGAGTCAGTCATAGGGGTCAAGTAAGTAAGTAAGTATCAAGTGTAGAGTCAAGTATCAAGTGTAGAGTGTAGAGTAAAGTATGGAGTCAAGTAAGTTGATTCTATGTCTGTCATCTATGTACTCAGCTGCGGCGTTCCACACGGAAGAACCCTTCGCGATGCTTTTGGGAACAACCGATCCATGGTGTGCAACAGTGGCGAGTTGGATGCTGGCGTACAACGCCGTCAATCGCCCTAATGCGTGTGGCCAGGCCAGGATGCGGACCGTAGGGAAAACTTGTTGTGCGTCGAGACAGCACAGCGCAGCTCAAGAACGTTCCGAGAAGACAACGGGGCGCCCAGGCTTGAGCCAAGGCAAGGCGGTGCGGCTGCTCAGATGGGACGGGTTCCCTCCCCCCCTGCCGCGACCTGATGCTGGCTTCGACCTTGCACCAGGCGCAAGCCTCCGTGCAGTGGCTCATTCCATTCCAACCCTTGTTGTTTTGCCCTGTTCGTTTGTCCAGGTGCCGCTCGGCATGGCGGCTGGACTCGAAGCGAGCAGGGAAGCTGGGCACATGGACGACGCGCAGCTGCAAAGCAGGTTGCCATGATCCGAAAAAGGGCCTGCATCAAGGCCTTGGGCATCCTAACTGGGTCAGACGAAGACTTGTTCACTGCAGGAACTGTTGCCAAGGTCCCGCAATTGGATATGAAGACCTGGTTGAGAAGCGGCTTTGACCGGAAGGCGGAAGAGAACCCGCTTGATTTCCTCTACACTGCGCAAGGGCAAAATCGGCGGGTGTGCAGTCTGAGCGCACGCGGTGTGTGTCGTCGCCGATGCAATGCATGGGGAAGCCAATTGGGGCGCTCCAGACAGGTCATAGTAAGAGTCTGGCCGTCTCAAGTGCTTGGGTGGCGCGATCAAGAGAGCCTGCTCTCTGAGCGCCTGTCCCTCCACACGAGACCAAACAGACAGTTCTTTGTTCAACTAACGCCAGAGTTCGTACCCTGCAGCGTCCCAGGCTGCTTGACGAGTGCAATAAGGCCCCAACAAGGGATCCACCAGGCAGCACACGTACCCTCCCCCCTTCGCTGAAGGGTGGTGGGCCCATTCAGGGGGCTGGGTCCACCCCCTTCGACGAAGGGAGGCTTGAAAGGGGGTTTCAAGCCCCCCTTGAAGGGGGCCTGAAGGGTCAAACCCTGAAGGGGGGCTTGAGGGAAGGGGGGCTGCGGGGGAGGGGGGGGGGGTTGAAGGGTCGAAGGCTTCAAGGGGGGCTTGAAGGAGGCTTGAAGGGGGGCTTGAAGGGGGCTTGAAGAGGGGCTTGAAGGGGAGCTTCAAGGGGGGCTTGAAGGGGGGCTTGAAAGGGGGGCTTGAAGGGCTTGAAGGGGGGCTTGAAGGGAGGACTTAAAGGCAGGGTTTAAAGCAAGCGTACATTGCAGCTTCTGCAATAAGAAGGAGAAAAGCTTCTCGAAGACGCTTTAGGGGGGTTTAAAGCGGTGAAAACAAATTCATATCCTGGACAAAAAGAAGCGTATGTGGAGTGTCGGAAAAAGGCTTGGGCACGTCAAGTTCCCGAGAAGTTGCGGTTCCCATCAAACCCACAAGCAATCGTGAAGGATTTAAAATGTTTGCAAAAAGGGAAGCTGCGCCAACCCTGCTTTCCTGAAATGAAACTTCCTGCTCGTGCAAGCCGCAAAGAAGTCTACATTGAATGAAACCCCTTACAAGCTCTTCAAGCCCAAAAGTTTCTCCCAAGAAGAAGAAGAAAGCCACACGAAGACGCCTTTGGGTTAAAAGCAAAGAAAACAAATTAACAACCTTGGCCGTCAGCCACCTTTAAGCCTTTCTTGCTTCTTTAAAGGCTTTCTGAAAGCTTCCCTTCAAGCCCCCCTTCAAGCCCTTCAAGCTCCCCTTCAAGCCCCCTTCAAGCCTCCCTGACCCTTCAAGCCCCCTTCAACAAAAAGGTCGAAGCCCCCTTCAGACCCCCTTGAAGGGGGCTTGAAGGGTCTGACTCTTGAAGCCCCCTTAAGGGGGGCTTGAAGGGGCCCTTGAAGCCCCCGTTCGCTGAAGGGTGGTGGGCCCATTCAGGCATCGGCTGCCATCTTTGCTAATGCAGCTACAGCAACCCACTGGAGGCAGTAAAGGTGAGGTTCAACTGCACACGTTGGTTCGACTCATCGCCAAGCCCGTTGGCATCCGTGGAGTCGCCCAGCAAGCGACTCGTCGCAGTGCACAAAAGAAGAATTTTTACTTTCCACCCGCTGAAAGCGCTTTTCGCATTTCACGCTGTTGAGACCAAAGCAATACTTCTCCTTTAGCGGTTAGTTGCTCTGGAGGAGAACCAGGCAGCCACTGCCGGATGGTGAACGCCTCTGGTTCAGCTTGGGCACTCTAGGGCACAGAACCGTTGGAAGGCTGCGGCGGAGGATTTCTGCAGGGAAAAGGCTCGGGTCCGGCCTTCAACTGTGACAGACGACATACGTCGTTATGTCTTGTTTTGGCCTTCGGTGATTCCTTGCCAGAGCAACACGGGACACATGAAACGGACAGCAACCGCGGCGTCCCGACCAGTGGCTCCACGACATTCGTCGATGTTCGTTCTCAGTGACACCGGATTTGGTTTTCCCTCCTGCCGGCTGTTTGCCTGGGGGGATTCTTCGTCAGGACTGCCTCACCGTGCAGCCGGCCACACCCTCAATTGCAACCAGAGTCGATTTTTTCATGGATAGCACGCCTGCAACGAGAGGTCGTAAGCAACCTCCTGCGACGCTGCTCACCATCCAGGCGGCACCATAGATTTTTGGAAAGTGTTCGAACCCAAGGTTTGGAACTTAGAGTTCCGAACCCAGAGTTTTGGAACTCCAAAACTAGAGTTCGAGAACCCAGAGTTCGAACATCGAAGTTCCCTCCGAACTTCTTGAACTGGAGTTGAAATTGGAGAACTTTGAAAGGTGAAGAATTTGAACTTGGGTTTGAACATAGAGTTTCGAAACCCGAAGTTGGAACTCTAGCGGGAAAAAAATAAAATGAGAGAACAAGAAGCAATGAGACAAGAGTTCGAACTCTGGGTTCGGAAAACCATTGCGATTTTCGTGTGTCTTCTTCTCTTTTGCTTGTGCTTGCGGTTGAGTTTGTGGTTTCTGTTATTGTTGTGTGCTCTCAATAATTTTATTCGCAAAACCCCCACAAAGCGATTCTGTGTGGCTTCTTCTCCTTTTGTTTGGTGATTGTTGGTGTTCTGTTCGAACTCTGGGGGAGAGTCTAGAACCCGGAGAGTTCGAACCCCGTTCGAACTCTGGGAGGAGTCTAGAACCCGGGGTTGGGCGGTTCATTTGTTCGCGCCTTTAGCATTCTTGTAGGAGACTTCATGTCCTTCTGAAGCCCCCTTGAGAAGAAAGACTCTTCGTCATTGACAATCTTTTTCTTTGTTTTGTCTTTCTTTGATTTCTTTGCAAAAAGTTGATTTGTGTGACCTCCTAAGGTTCCCAGTTGTTGATTTGAAGCACTTACACTTGCTTTGGAAAATCTTGCACAGCCTTGTTTTGCATGTCATGTGAGTACGATTTGTTTTGGCATGGTGAAAGCTTGGAACGAAACCATTTCGCATGTTTTCGAAACCTTGTTTTGTCGGTTTGTTGGTCGGTCGGTCGGTCCGCCTGTCGGTCGTCCCGCCCGAACCTCAGAGTGAGCTTTGCGGACGCTTGGAGTGTTTGTGAAGAGTCTCAAGCCTGTTTGCTTTCGCCAGAGCTACAGCGTGATGCCTAAGAGGCATCAGGAGCCAGTTCTAGTGTTTAGAGAGCTGAAGCCCAAGTTCGCTGTTTGTGCTCACCAGCTGTGAAGTGTTTGAAATCCAGAGAGCTGTGTACTGAAGCCTCAAGCCGTGCCGGGCTTGGCTCAAGACTCGGACTGCTGAAGAACAGCAGAGTGAAAAGTGTGGAGCGTGCCCGCTCTGTCTGAGTGCTGTGTGTGAGAGGCCCAGAGGCCCCGAAGGTTCCCTAGAGGTCCCTCGGAAACTAACGTGGTAGCGGAGCTTCGTGCTCCAGAGCCATGGCAAGCCATGGCCCAGGTGGTGCAGCAGGGAGAGACCGCTCTCCGAGAGGGAGGAGCCGTGACTCGAGTGGGAGAGCTAGTCGTTTGAGTTCTAGCCTCTCTGCAAGGTCTGGTTCAGTGCCACGAGTGCGTGCGAGAAGTGTACCGGCAGCCAACTCCCCTTCTGCACACCGTCCCGGAGTAGACCTGAGGCCTTTAGCCTCTGCGGGCCAGACTCCGACAGCACAGGCTGCGCACCAGACGCAGTACTTCAGTTTGGGAACGCCACCACAACAGCCTCCTGCGCCAACTGTGCCTCAACAGTTGCCAGTGAACCCTGGAAGCCTTGACGACAACACTGTGAATCTGTTTCGGCAGATGATGCAGGCCCAGGACGAGCAGATCAGGGCTCAAACGGCCCAAGTGCAGCAGCTCACTAACCTGGTGAAGGACCTGGCAGTGCTTGGTGTCCAGAACGCCAGCCAGACAAGTGCCAGTGCAGCTGCGACCGCGCCTGCAAGCTCTTCGGGTGACACCTCTGGTCCCGCGCCAATGGAAGTTGACACGGGAATCCGCTCTAGAAGGGCAGAGAGCTACATTCCGACTCTGCCTCAGCTGAACTTTGCCTCGATGAACACGAGGCATGCTGAGATTCGGGTTTGGAGTGCTTACAAGGAGGAGCTCACCAGCTGGCTCTGTTTGCTTGACGACCGGTTCGCAGAAGAGCTGGACGAGTCAGAGCAGAGCGCCGTCCCAGTTCAGCAGAGTACGTTGGACGTCGGAAAGGCAGCGCCGTCCAGCAAGCTTTGGTTCTTGCTACGCCAGAGTTTGAGCAAGTTTCAAAGAGCCCAGGACCTCATCCACCTGATCGAGGTTGCTCAGAAAGGAGCAAGTGCTGGTTACGAGTTCTGGCGCCTGCTCAACCGAGAGCTCTCGGTCCGTTCGAGGGTGGAGGGCCAAGCGCTGAGGGAGCAGATGATCAATCTTCACCCTCCCAAGCACCTCAAGCGACCACTTGATGTGATGAGGTGGTACATGACTGAGCTCATGAAGTTTGAGTCTCAGGTTGGCAAGAAGTACCCTGAGCTTAAGGTCCACGAGCAAGAAGCTGTTCTGGGAGTCTTGAAGCACCTGGACGAGGACGCGAAGAAGTACCCTTTGTTGCACCAGACCACCAGCGGTCTGGATGCAATGTTGCAAGGGCTGCAGTTTTACGACGAGCAGCTTCGAGTGCTAAACTTCCAGAAGGAGCACCACCACGGCTACCTGAACGCGTTCGGTGCTGGAAAAGGCGACAAGGGTGACAAAGGGAAAGGCGACAAAGGCAAGAAGGGCAAAGGAGACAAAGGGAAAGGTAAAGACAAAGGAAAGGGCAAAGGAGAGCGAGCAGACAAGGGCAACAAGGAGAAGGAGAAGCCCGGAAAGGGTTCAGCTGCACGTGCCAAGAGCAAGGCCAAGAAGACCGACGTTTGCCACAACTGCGGGAAGAAGGGACATTGGGCCCGCGACTGTTGGCTGAAGCAAGCTGCTGCGGTTTCCTCCCACGAGGCCAACGCCACTGTGACGACAGGCGCTGCGGAGAGTTCGGGGAGCGCTGCAGCTGCCAAGGCTGCGCCGAAGGCGCCGAGCAACCAGCCCACTACGAAGGGCGACGTTGGGAAGGGAACAGAGAAGGGCGTCAGAACGTTCCTTGAGGGAGCATACTTTGCGATGCCCATGGTCGCACCTTCCTTCGTTGAGTCGGGAGAGAAGATCTATTGGCTTCTCGACTCTGGGAGCTCGTACCATGTGGTTTCCCAGGCGACGCTTGAGAGTGGACACGTCAAGGTTTTGTCGAGAAAGAAGCGACCGAAGACTGTGTGCCAGACTGCCACTGGCGACCTGGTGGAAGTGGGAAGCGACACCCACGCGACGATCGAGGTGAATTTTCTCACCACTCGACACTTTGAGCAGCGAGGAGGAGTTCTGAGCACCTTTGCGTGCACCTGTCGTCTAGAAGCGGTAGTTAGCAGCGAAATCAAACACAACCTGATAAACCTCAACCTCCTCTGTTGGAGAGGCTGGAAGCCTACCCTTTATCGGGGTCTCTTAACAGCGGAACGTAAGGAGGTGACGCTGCTTCCAGCAGTGTTCGGCGACTGCACATGGCTTCAGAGTGTGATGGCTGATTCTTCCGCGAAGCTCACGCTTGCGAGTGTCTCGTCGTCTTCCGGTCTGTCGAGTGGTAGGTCTTTTGAGTTTCCTCACCTGAGAAACAGCATGAGCATGAGTTTTCGCACGATGAGCATGATTTTTCACAGCATGGGCATGATTTTTCACGACAACAGCATGAAACAACGCATGTTGAACCGAGTGTTTTGCCACATGCTTGCGAGGACTCTGTTGGGCGTAGGAGTCGTCTTGCGTCAGCTGAGTGCAGTTGGTAGGTCAGTCGTCTTGCGACAGCTCAGGAGTGCAGTTGGTAGGTCAATCGTCTTGCGGCAGCTCAGGAGTGCAGTTGGTAGGTCAATCGTCTTGCGGCAGCCCTGGAGTGCAGTTGGTAGGTCAGTTGCCTGCTAGAGTGGTAAAGCTTTTGCAATCGAGTGCCGTGGATCCATCTTCTTCACCTTTGCGCTCGGGGACCACATCTTCCGATCGAGGCCAGTGGGTGCAGCCAGGTTTTAGTGACTCTTCAGTGCCGTTGCAGCCAGTTTCTGTAGTGCAACCTGCGTGCAGTGATTCTGAAGAGCGTTTGCTTGGCGTGCATGGTCGGTTGGTTGGTCGGTCGGTTGTGCATGACGGTGTGTGCAGTTCGAGCGACAGTGTAGGTGAACAGAGGGTTTCCGCAGATCGCCAAGGCACAAGCTTGAGCCTTAAGGGTTTAGCTGATGAAGGCCAGTGCGAAGAAGGGCTGGACAGGCCGGGCGGAAGCAATGGAGATATCCTCCGACGAGGAGGTAGGGGGGCCACCTGCCCCAAAGGCGACTGGGGTGAGCCTCGCGGACCGGGTCAACAGCTTCAGTTGGACCCCTCCTTATATTGCCCCAGAGGGGAAGTGGTCAAGCCCTCAGGCCCTGAGCCACAGCAACCGCAACTACTGCGAGTACTGCATGGTCTGCGGGAAACACGCGACGGAGGCTCATTTAATGTCCGACAGCCACAATCACCACATGAAGTCGTGGATCGCCAGGAACCGCCCTGGTTTGAGGCTTCTACCGGACAGGCTTTCCGATCCCGAAAGGATCGATATGATGATCCAACTTCGTATGCCGGACTTGGCCGAGCCCGAGATCAAGAAGGCGAGGGAGCTAGTCTGCTAGTTCTCCGACTGGCTTGGTTCAGCAACCAACCGGCGAAGGCGGGTGCCTCAACTTTGCCGCCAGAGGACAACTCGGAAGCCACAGCCAAATCCAGCAATGCACTTCCGGGAATCTGGGCGGAACCATCAGAGCCTCCGACGCCGTGTGCTTCCAACAGAGCCAGAGACACGACGGGTGAAGGCCAGGGGGCGGCCTTGGCCAGACACTCTGGGGGTCCAGCAGCGCTCGACCCAACAACTGGAGGGAGCGCGGGCATTGACTCCACTGAGCGAGGGAGTGGCAGCTCAGGCCGTGTTCACCTCACCTGTCAAGACACCACCAGGGTGGACGCCTCCGAATTCGCCTACGGACTCGGAGAACTGGGGTGGCTGGAAGCCAGCTCAGGCTGGCCGCGGGGATCTGCAGCCAAAGACACCACCCAAGTCGGTGGATCCGAAGGGGCTCGGGTCTATGATGCCCAAGACGCCGCCCAAGACGGCGCCATTGGAGGCACCTGCGGAGGAGGACACCGAGATGGCCGAGGACACAGGGATGGAGCAAGAAGCGCCATCGCCACCCAATGTGTCGCCGAGTGTGCCGCCTCCGGCACCTCCGCCACCACCGGTTTCGGCTCCACCAACATATTCGTGGGTGCCGCGCAGCTACCCACCTCCGGGTGCAGTGCTGAGTTCGCCCAGCGGCGAGAGCTTACACACGAGGATGAGGCTCGGGATCTGTACGGAGGCAGAAGCAGACTCCTGGAGGATTGCAGCGGAGATGGCCACAGAATCTCGGCGAGTGCGTCCGCGCACCGCATTGCCGATCCCGCCTCCTGCTCCTACCGTGAGCCGGCCTACTTCAAGCCCAACGGGGAGTGTTCTGGGGCCACCACTGGCACCACCGCCGGCACCTCCATCGGGAATGTGGGTTATCAACCCGCCGCCACTTCCGCCAAGGAGATCTTCTCGCAGCCCGACCCCGTAATCGTCTCACAGCTTTCGAAGCCCGACGCCATGAATAATGGCCTTTTTGCTTTGCCAACGCACCAGCATGCATGGAAACATTCTAGAGTGCACGCTTCGTGTGAGTTCTGCGGTCAGCCATGCTCAGTTTTCAGTTCCGCTGCTGTTGTTGCCCCGTTGCAGGAAGAGGACCCCCTCAACCAGAAGAATCACAACAAGGAGCCCAATACGCAAGCAGAGGGTCCGGCCGGTTTGGGTTTAGCAGCAGGGCAGGGAGAGCTGATCATATCACAAGATCCGGAGACACGCCGTGAGCTGCACAAGCGCCTGTCACATGTCTCTCAGGGTCACGTGCCATACTGGGCGAGCTGTGAAGCTTGCAACAGAAGCCGAGGGCTGACGCCAGCCCGCATGCGAAGTGACAGACCCGATAAAGAGTATCAGGTAGATCAGTTCATGTATCGCTCAAGGTGCTTTATTAACTTTATTATTCTAGTGCATGTGCTTGCTTTTGCGATTGGAGTGACGTTCCGACCAGAAGGGATGAGTGGACGCGAATCAGCCGGGCATCTCGAGCCGTGGCTAGCTCACTTTGGGTTAGGCCAGAGCGCTGCTCCTAAGCCCTCCTTCTACTCAGATCCGGAACCGCTGACCATCAGCATTGCACAGGCCCTAGCGGAACGGTATGAGGGACACAGTGAAAGTTTTGCTCCGGAGCGCCACGCTCCCGTTGCTGAACGAGCAGTGCGAACCTTGAAAGGGATTGTGTCTTCTCACGAATTACAACTCCGTGAAAATGGTGTTGTCCTCGGAGATGATCCGGGTACTTTAGAGTTTCTTTTTAGATACGCGGCACACGTGCACAATCGATTTGCAGTGTCGGTCGGGAACACCATGTCTCCTTTGCAGAAGCTGCGGGGCCACGACCACAAGCCCCAGTTGACCTATCCCTTCGGGGCTGTCGTTTTCGCAAAGGTCAGCCGTTCTAGCAAAGAGGAGGTTGATACCAAGTATGCCCGCGGGGTGTACCTGGGTCCTGTGCTTGGTTCTACCGGGCACCAGGTGCGTATCCGGCTGGATTCTGGAGAAACCAAGTTGATTGTTGCGCCGGGTCTGAAGTTGCTCTACCCTCTTCGATACGATGCTTCGTTGCTTGACGGTGCCAGACCTCTGGAAGGCTTTGTGCCACCTTTGGATGAGGAGCGCTTTCGCGAGCTCCACCTTCCCTACGTGCCGGGAGGGGGACCCTCCAAAGAATGGATCCGCGAGCACGGTGGCACCCCTAAGTGCCCCGGATGCTCCGAAGAGGCCACGTCCTCTCGCCATTCAATAAAGTGCGTCCGGCGCTACCAGCGGTGGCTCCGAGATGCTGTGGACAACGCTCTTGAAGAGCTTGGTCGGGACCCTCCGCCCGCTCAAGGCCCACCGGCCAAGCGGGTTCGCTTCGGTGATTCGGAAGTTCGTGAGTTTCCGGCGCCCTCGGCGCCCTCAGAGCAAGAAGTAGAAGTACCACAGATCAGTGCGGAGGCCAACGACCATCTTAGTGACTACGAGCCCTCGTTGCCCTCCGAGGACGAGGGAGAAGATGATCTGATGGGTGTCGCCGAGGCACCGAAGGATGATCGCCCCGCGATTCGGTTATTGGAGGAAATGTGGGCTTGCGGCTGCGTCCGCTACGTTCCCACTCCCTTGACCGCGTGTGATGTGTATGATTTGCAAGCGTTTTGCTCGTTGCTTGTCGACGGCCGCTCCTCTTGCGATAAGTTGCCGTACTCTTGCCTTGCGTTGCTTGAGCATGAGCGTGTGGAGCATGACGTTGGTCGGTCGGGCTTGAGCGTGCCAGTTGGTCGGTCGAGTGGCGACAGCGTGTCGGTTGGTCGGTCGGGCGTGAGCATGTCGGTTGGTCGGTCGGTTGGTCGGTCGGACCTGCCTGCTTGCAATGATCAAGATCAAGAGAAAGAGGGCACATATATGCCCATTGGGGATCGCTGGGTTTGGGTCTCTAGGCCTCGGAGTTCCTACGACGACGTCGATGGAATTCAGCTAGACAACAAAGAGAGCTGGGAAGGAGTGAAGACTGAGGTCAAGGCCGTCGACTCTTTGCAAGTCGGCCTCCTTCGTTCCAGGTCTGAAGTTGATCGCTACCAGGAAGAGAACCCAGGGTGCCGCGTGATAAAGTCACGGTGGGTGCTGACACAGAAAGCCCCAGGGCTTGTCAGGGCACGCCTCGTGGCGAAAGACTTCGCGCACGGCAGGCCTTCTGCCCTTGATCTTGGCCTCTCCTCGAACACCGCGAGTGTGGAGGCACTCAAGCTCATACTTTCGAGAGCCGCGAAGGGCCGTATGCGGGTTTGGGGTTTGGACATTTCTACTGCGTTCCTGTTTGCGAACGTTGTTCAACCCACTGTGGTGGAGCTCCCGAGCTCTTTCTGCCTAGAGGGCGGAGGCCCCGCGTACTTGATCCTAGAGAAGGCCTTGTATGGCTTGCGCAGCGCGAGCCTGAGTTGGCAAAGGCACCTCGGTAAGATTATGGTCGGCCTGGGCCTCAAAGCCTCGCCGCTCGAGCCCACGCTCTTTAGTGGATGGGTTCAGCTCGGAAAGAAGTGGACGTATATCATCGCCCTAGCTTATGTGGATGATTTATTGATCGTCTCCGACAGCCAAGAGGGGGTTGAGTTTATCCACAAGTCCCTGAGTGCGGTTCTAAAGGTAAAGGTCACCGGAAGGCTCCATGAAGATGGCCAACTTGAGTTTTTAGGACGGCTTATCAAGCTAGATGGGAACAACATCACCCTTGGGGTGAAACCTGAGTACGTGCGTTCAGTCTTCTCTGCCTTTGGGTGGACCGAGAAGGACCTGGCTAAGGTCAAACCTGTGGCCGCAACCCCCGACATTAGGGCTCTATATGATGCTGAGGACCCTGAATCCCCATCGCCCTCTTTGTCTCCAGAAGCCGCGGGTAGGTTCAGGTCTTGCCTTGGGAAGATTGGTTGGTTGACCCAGACGCGCACCGACATCACATATTTCCACTCTATGCTTTCGAGAGGGCAAGCTGCACCAAGGATGGTGCACGAGGATGCGCTAAGGAAATTTCTTCGGTGGTTGGTCGGTTGTCCGTTGCTTGATCAGGTTTTTCCCGCCTGGAGCGGGGAAACTTTGGAAGAAGAGGGTGCCACTTTGGTGACGTTCTGTGATAGCAACTGGGGCAGTGAAAGTAGCACCGGGAGGAAGAGTACTAGCGGTGGGGTTATCTACGTAGTGGCCGGTTCCCTGTGGTATTGCGTAAAGGGCTACAGTAGGCTACAAACCGTAGTTGCCTTATCCTCTGCCGAAGCCGAACTCTTTGCCATTGCCGAGGCCGCTAAGGAAATTGCCGGTTTAGGTCAGCTGGCTTCTCACATTTGGGGCGAGATCGCCAAGCCCCTCGCTATCTACACCGACAGCGCATCTGCTCGCCAGATTGCCGGGATGGAGGGGTTCCTTCGGAGGATGCGACATGTAGACATCAGACTTTGTTTTATTCAGGATAGGGTGCATCAGAACGAGTTGGTGATTAACGGGGTTGCCGGAGAAGAGAACGTCAGTGATCTCCTCACCAAGAACCTCAACAGGCCCCAGACCTTGAAACACACAACGACCTTAGGATTGGAAGACGTCCACCAGGTTGACCTTTGTGCTGTGCCGGTGGTTCGCTCGTGTGTGTTCCTTACAGGGCTGTTGAATTCAATCTTTGACAACACAGAACTTGAGTGGGAAAGGTTCTTGGGCCTCTGTGAGCTCCCAACCTCGTACGGAACCCTGTTCATTGAGTTTTGTACCGATCCGCAATCTAGCTTTGTGACCACGGGGTGTGACTACTCTGTCTTTGTTCTGCCGGTGACTGTGGAAGTAGATGGGACTTCACCTGAGACCGTGGAGCGGCTCATGTCAGCCATGGATGTTGCCAGGAGCTGGGGAATGAAGGTTGTTCTTTGGAGCAGCACGCCTTGTACCGGGGGTAGCCCTTGGCAAAGAAAGCACTTGCACCACAACCCCCAACACCAAGAGCACTTGCAGGCCCTGTTCACAGTGCACAGAAAGCTTTGGAAGTCGTGGTTGAAACTGAACACCCACCGACAAGTGAGTGTCTGGGTGATGGAGTGGCCACAAAGATGCAGCTATTGGGGCTGGCAGTCTACGAAGAGCTTCCTGCGGAGCAGAAGCCACCACGAAGGGCTTGTGCATGGGTGCATGGCAGGCATGGTAGGTCAAGATAATCTTTTGGTGAAGAAAACATGGAAGCTTGTTTCTAACGATGCGGATTTTATTCAACACATGTCTCGAAACTTTGCATGTGATGGTAGCCACGATCATTCACAAACGTTTGACCTTAAAGCTACACAACACTATCCGAGAGCCTTCGCAGAGACTGCTTTGGCCACGCTACGGCTCGGATGAATTCACAAGCCGGCAGGTACGCTTGAAGAGCTGTGCCTCGGGGTCTTTTAGGACCGCCTCTGCTCCTGGACACGCAGACTGAGGAACGAACGCACAGGACTTTGTCTGTGGCGTGGTCTTCGAAAGGAGGACAGGACCGGGTCTAGGAACCTTACGGTCAAGAGGGGGAGTTGATTTGTGTGACCTAAGCCCGGCCCTCCGTAGTTTTCAGCGCAAACACCCAGACCCCTGCTTCTGGCTACGAGGAATGGTCCCAAAGGCTTGGACGACCCCGCAGGTCTCGGCCTCAGCTTTGGAAACCAGGGTGACAGGGCTGTTTTGTCATCAGCCGGTTGATGTCACTGGGCTCCTCATAGGTACTGATGCTAGCGGAGGTCCCAATACCCACGACCCTCGCCTTAGGGCTGTAGGGTGGTCGGTCGTGCTTTGCGAACTCCGCGCTGATGGCCTTATTGAGCACGGGACCATCTCAGGCCTTCTTCCGCCGGGCAGCACGGTGCCTAGGGGGAGTCCCTCGCAATCATTGAAGCCCTCAAGGCCACCACTGGCAGCTTTGACCTCACAGGTGATTGCAAGCCGGCTCTCAAAGCCCTGGCTGCCAGAGCTCTCAACAAAAAACATATCCCTGAATGGGGTCCAGTCTGGCAGGAGCGAGCAAGGGCTCAACCGCACTGGGTTAGGAGCCACTGCACGGCTGAGGCCTTTGAGGCTGAATTCCCTGGTCAGCTTTGGCGCCGCGAGCTCAATGCCAAAGCAGACACTCTCGCAGGGAGCCGAGCTGCTGCTGCATGCACCCCGCATTTTGTACGCAAAGTAAAGGAACTCGACCTGGTAACCCGGGAACTCAACTGTTTTCTCGCCTCCAGGGCTGAGAAGCTGATCAAGGAAAAAGCCCAGGGTTTTGTTCCCCGCTCCGCTAGAGATTCCTTAAGCCAGTTTGACAAGCCTCGGTCGCAAGCTGCAGCTGTGTCTGCAAGCACTAAAGTTCCGCCGCCTAACAAAAAACAACGCCTTAAGCAGATGCTGGCTTCTCCTGACCCGGCATTAGGTCACGTTTGGCGTGATTGTGAGGCCAAGGCGAGCACCAACTTTGCTATTCAATGCACAATTTGCCAATTGTATATTGAACAATGCAATGCTTTGGGGGTTTTTGAGCGCAAGGTTGCAAACCCTTGTCGAGACATTGCTGCAGCGGTACCGTCAGGCTGGAATATACATCCTAGTCATGACATGCGTAATAAAGGCTCTTCCTTTTTGTGCTCTAAGTGCCTGGCCTGCATTAAGCTTGGAGCCGCGTCGCCATCTGCTCTTCTCCAGGATGCCTGCAAAGGTCTAGGCCGTAAGGTTGCCAGGGGCACCAGGGCTCGCGGAATGGCTCAGGTTGAAGGAGCTTCGAGTCTTTCCATTGCAAGTGTTTTTCAGGCTGCTCGTGCTGGGGCCTCTGCACCGGCCGGCACAGCTGCCACACCAAAGCTGAAAACCCCGAGTGGTGCTCCCAAGGTTGCCGGTGCCGGCACCACAGCGCCTGCGGCTGGCGCGGCTGCTTCGCCACAGATTGGCCCCCCGAGAGCCGCCCCCAAGGCAGCTGGGCAGGGCCTTTCAGTGAGTGCACCAGTGACACCTGCAAGTAATTTCTTTGCTGCTGTTGGTCCCGCCTTGCCTAAGCCCTCTCCGAAACCCCCCCCGCGTGCAAAGCCTAAGCCTAGGGCCAAGGCTAAAGACATGATGCAACCTGCTCTGAAGTTTCCGGCTCACAGGGGGCAGGCTAGTGGGACCTCGCCTTAGGGCTGAGGTCCCGCCATGCCGCCGAAGACTCCGGGCCGGCAACTGCCGACCCAGCTTGTCGCTGGCAAGCCCGCCTGTGCACAGGTCGCCTGGCCTGCCAGCACGTTGCCACGGGCCCACCGCCAGGATCGGCCGAATTGTCCGTTAAATACTTAAATCCACAATTCCGCCGAGCCCATTTGAGGTGTTCCAGGGTGAGCCAGGGTCTAGCCCACCCAGCTGGGGCTGCATGCTCAACTTGAGTGCGTATGAAGCTTTGCATCCTGCCTGAACCAGGAGCCTGACCTTTTGCACCTCGCCAGGGCTTGAGGAGCATGCCAGGAGGGCACCTAAACACTGGGTCCTTTCAGGTCAACAGGCCAGGTTGCTTTCGCCTGCTAGGGACCTCGCCTTTGGGCTGAGGACCCAGTATGGCCCCTGCCCTCTTGTGAGCGAGGTTGCCAAGCAGTTTTGAGTGAAGTTTGCTTTCAACGTGCCCCGTACCTCGCCTTTGGGCTGAGGTTAAGGGTACATCTGAGCTGAGGGTTGAGTGTGTTGCTCCCCGGGGTAGTTGCTGAGTCGGTACTTTCTGAAGGTTTTGCTACAGAAGGTACTGACCTGTTTTGCTAGCTGGCTCTGGCCGAGCTGCTAACCTCGCCTCAGGGCTGAGGATACAGCTTACTTGGGGTCGAGCCTGAAGCTCCCTAGACAGTTAGCTGTAGCTGTCGGTGCCTTAAGGCTGAGGGCACTCCTCGCCTGTACAGCGGGCGCTGGCACTTGAGACAGCTTCTACCCCTGATCTGTGAAGGACTGGGTTGTGCAAACCTTAATTATGTGCACGTTTTTAGGTTTCTCTGGAGTGGCCTCTGGCCGTGGACTTTCGCGCCACCGGAATGATTTGTGTGACCTCCTAAGGTTCCCAGTTGTTGATTTGAAGCACTTACACTTGCTTTGGAAAATCTTGCACAGCCTTGTTTTGCATGTCATGTGAGTACGATTTGTTTTGGCATGGTGAAAGCTTGGAACGAAACCATTTCGCATGTTTTCGAAACCTTGTTTTGTCGGTTTGTTGGTCGGTCGGTCGGTCCGCCTGTCGGTCGTCCCGCCCGAACCTCAGAGTGAGCTTTGCGGACGCTTGGAGGGTTTGTGAAGAGTCTCAAGCCTGTTTGCTTTCGCCAGAGCTACAGCGTGATGCCTAAGAGGCATCAGGAGCCAGTTCTAGTGTTTAGAGAGCTGAAGCCCAAGTTCGCTGTTAGTGCTCACCAGCTGTGAAGTGTTTGAAATCCAGAGAGCTGTGTACTGAAGCCTCAAGCCGTGCCGGGCTTGGCTCAAGACTCGGACTGCTGAAGAACAGCAGAGTGAAAAGTGTGGAGCGTGCCCGCTCTGTCTGAGTGCTGTGTGTGAGAGGCCCAGAGGCCCCGAAGGTTCCCTAGAGGTCCCTCGGAAACTAACGCAAAAACTCCACAAAGCGGTTTCGTGTGGCTTCTCCTTCTTTTGTGGCAGGGACTGGTCATTGGTAGTCTTTTTCTTTGTTTTCGGCAAGCTTCTAAAAACAGCGGAGGGGTTGGGGGGGGGGCGCAGCCCCCCCCAAACGTGGAGTTCCCGAACCCAGGGTTCGCGAATTCCAGAACCCGAGGTTCCAACATAGAGTAAACCTCGGGTTCCAACATAGAGTTCCCGAACCCAGGGTTCGAACTCCCTGGGGGACGGGGGGGGGGTTCCGGAACCCGGGGTTCCGGTATAGAGTTCCCCAAACCCCAGGTTCAACATAGAGTTCCGAACCCAGGGTTCGGACTCTCTGGGAAGGGGGGAGGAGTTCCCGAACCCGGGGTTCGAACGTGGAGTTCTCCAAACCCCGGGTTCGAACATAGAGTTCCCGAACCCAGGGTTCGAACATAGAGTTCCCGAACCCCGGGTTCGAACATAGAGTTCCCGAACCCAGGGTTTGAACATAGAGTTCAAACTCCAGGTTCAACCTGGGTTCGAGAAGTTCGAACCCAGGGTTCAACCCTGAGTTCCGGAGTTATATGTTCTCCCCCCCCCCCCGGGCCCCCCGGGAGTTCGAACCCTGGGTTCCGGAACACTCCAAAAACCTATGCTCCACCAACGGGGTGGACTGCCAGAAGCTATCGGTCGTGTTGTGGGGCATCGTCAAGAAGCTGCAGAAGCGGGCAGAGAAGCTGGAGAAGAACAAACGGCGGGGCGGCGACTCAGACTGATGTTGCGTCATAATGTCTCGGAAAGAAGGCGACGCGAATCTCGACTTTGCATGCGAGGCTGTCATGAACCGAGCAACCGAGCATAACTTGGTCGCGCTGCTCGACAAATGGTCAACGTGTTGGAAGCGCCGTGGCCGCACTCGAGCCATCGGTCCGCATGCTTATGAAAAGTACAGCACTTTCGGCTTCTTTGGACACGGCGGCGTCTTTGGCATTTCTAGAGTCGTCTCAAATGAAACAGCATGCATCGCCGTCAACCGTTTTCTCAGAGAGCGCTTTCCGAATCAAACGTGGGCTTCCATCGCGGTGCTGTACGATCCGTCAATGCCGCTCGTGACATTCTGAACATGATAGGACACGCGAACCATGCTATCACTTTGGGTAATTTTATGGAAGGTCGAGTCTGGATCGAAGATGAAAACGGACAAGCAACTGCATTGCTGGAAACGAAAAGCGGTCAGGAAGCTACGTGGAACGTGGGTTGACATGCATGACAAACCCGTTTCGTTCAATGCTCGGAAACACCACATGCTTGAAAAGCATCGCGGAAATATGTGGGCTCTTGCCGCATATACGCCTCAGGCATACAAACATGCTCATGAATCTCATGTCGCTGAACTGATGGAACTCGGCTTTCCCGTTCCGCCGCTTTAACACTGTTGCGGTATCGTGTAGTGAGCGTAGTGACCGCGTAGTGACCGTAGTGACCGAAGTGAGCGCGTAGTGACCGCGTAGTGACCGTAGTGACCTCGTAGTGACGTAGTGACCACGTAGTGACCGCGTAGTGAGCGTAGTGACCGCGTAGTGACCGTAGTGACCACGTAGAGACTCGGATATAGACTCAGTCTTTGTGGAGTCTTTCATGGTCAAGACTGCAGTCTTTGTGGAGTCTTTGTCGAGTCTTTAAGCATCATTGCAGCATTATTACGTCATTATTGAGTTATTATTGAGTCATTATTGAATCATTGTTGAATCATTATGAGTCTTTATTGAATTGGTTCAATGATGACAAAACGG